GAGAGAGAGAGAGAGAGAGACATAGAGAGGTAAAACACTCGAAGACCTCCCAGGACAGTGTCCGGCGGGTGGACCCTATTGTAAGGGCCTCGGGTGCACGCCGTCTCTCTCACGCCGAGGGTGCTGCGGGGCGTGCAAGCGAGAGAGACGGAGCGACTGATGTGATGTCTCTATAGCGGTATAAATCAGGCCCCAGCATTGGTCCAGTTCGTGAGGTGAGGGAGCACACAGCTTCCGCGAATTTGTTTGCAATATGAAACCAAACGCTTGTCTCTTTGCTGTGGTTAGTTTTATTGTTCATTATAATGTAGTGGACCGTTTCCAACCCGTTCCCACGCGTACGAAGGTCTCCGCTAGCGAAATAACCAGAGTGGTGTGATACAACATGAGGTAGTGATGACACCTCCTTAGAAAGGGGGATGGGGTGGAGAGCAACATTTAGGGTGGTTTGAACCTTCGGCGCGCTAACGCCGCCCGCGGGGCCAAAACACTTTTACTTTCCCTTTCCCTTCTATCGAATATATCGATCCGAACTGGGCGATAACAATTGCTGCTCGTAAATCGGTAGGGGGCCGCAACGGCGGCAGGGCGCGTCAGGGGATCCACCAGGCCACGCCCCGCCACGCCACGCCCCGCCACGCCCCGCCACGCCCCGCCACGCCCCGCCACGCCACGCCCCGCCACGCCCCGCCACGCCCTGCCGCGCCCCGCCACGCCCCGCCACGCCCCGCCACGCCCCCTGCCACGCCCTGCCGCGCCCCGCCGCGCCCCGCTAACCTCACCTCACTCTCGTGCGTATGTCACGACGGTGTGTTATTGCTCGGGGATGCCTTCCTCCTCCCTCACCTTGGCTCTCGCCCAACAGGTGGTGCCACCACCACCGTCCACATCTGTATCGCTCGCCCGATCTGGAAACGCTTTTGCGGACCGGAGCAGCAGCAGCGCACTCGGGCTCTCTTCTCTTTGCAGTCTGTGTTTTTCACCTATACACGCATTTTCCAGACAGCCGGGCAGACAGACAGACGAACGAGCAGACTGACGCAGACGATCAGTGGCGCGCGCGTTATCCGGACGCGAGGCGCGACACGCGCTCAGTCAGCTGTTTGTTGGGTAAGGTCAGACCGCGAGACGACCAGAGACGGACAGACAGAGAGAGAGAGAGAGAGGGAGAGAGAGAGGGGTGTGGTGCCCGTCGAGCCGAGGCGGCCGGTGCGCCGGCCCGGCCTGGCCTGCCGTACCGCGCCGCCACTCCAGTCGGCTGCAGCCCGCCGCCGAGACCAGACCAGAGTGCACGGCACTCGGCTTCCCCCCCGCAGAGTATAGACGGCTCCAGGCTCTCGCACTCACGCTCGCGACTGCGAATACCCCCCCGCGCGCGCCGGCCGTCTGTGAATACAGACGAGACTCGCCGGCCCTGTGAACACCGCGTGGAACTGTGCATAGAGCGACGGGCGGGTCCGTCCTCTGGCACTGTGAATACCTGTGAATACCCGCGCGCCGGCCCATCCCGGTTCTGCGAATACCTCGCGGCTCACCGTTAATCCCCCTTTTGCTGAGGTCCGGCCGGCCCCGTCTGCTGGTCCGCCGGTGCAGTCTTGGTGCACGTGCTTGTGCGTGCCTTCGTGCGTGCGTGCGTGCGCCCCGGTTTCTGGGTGTGAGCTGGTGCGGTGCTGCCGAGCGACACATCGTCCCCGCGCCGCTTCATCTCTGTCGCTCTCGCTTTCGTCTTTGGCGACAAGCTCTTGCTGCCGACCAGCCGAACAAGGACCCGGCACTCGGATATATCGTTTCGCGCACGAGATGTAAGTATAATGTGTGAGTGTAGCGTGCCTCGCCAGTAGTGTGTGTGTGTGTGTGTGTGTGTGTGTGTGTGTGTGCGTGCGTGCGTGCGTGCGTGCGTGTGTACGCGTGGAGTGAGGATTCCTGTCCATGTGCATTTTGTAGACGTGTTTGCTAATCTGGAGTTATGCAGCGAGTTTGTCAACCGGTGCGTCGTGGAGTGGCGCGCGTCTCCGATAAACTATAGTTGTTGCGGATACAATTTCAATCCCTTCAGATATTTGCCGATATAACTTTTAGCTTTGTGCCATTACGTTTTCACGTGCTGCATCAACGTAGCTAAATTGTAATTATCTCGTGCGGTCTCTGTAATAAAGCAAGGCCCCTAATCTGTGTAGCGTCGCAATTGGACACCCAGTAACCAGTCTCACCCCCATCGCCCCCGTGTGCCTTTGCTTTGTCAAGGCGCTGACCCCTAAGATCCTCCCGAGGAGGAACAGTCAGATGACTCTAAGGAACCAACCCCCCTCCCCTCCTTTTCCTTCCCACTTCGCAGGATCGGGTTCCCGCGTGGCCCTCATGCAGGCCCTAGAGGAATTCACCCGATCAGCACTAGAGTGCTCAGTGCTCTCAGGACTTCTTAGAAAGCGCGCCCAGCTGTGCCCGGTGTCATGTGGTTGGTAGTGTAGCAGACTCTGGACGGAGCCATTTCAAACTTCCCTTCTAGTCTTTTTCGTAAAGCAGCTTTTCCTCCTTCCTTCTCATCCCACTATATTCTGACAATAAAACTATAACTCACGTCGATTTTTTCCGCCCGCCAAGAGGTAACGTAATTATCATTTTATTGCGACCGCAAAGGCAAGTGCTTCGTGCTGGGAAGGAGGATTCCTCAAAAAAGATGCCCCACCTTGTGCCTTCTTTGGGAACGGATGCTGCACATTTTGACGGGGACGAGTGATGATTTAGGTCTGCGTTGACGTGAGGCGGACGATATCGCTCAGCGCTTATAGCAGCGATAAGTAGACCACTAAACCCAAACCATATATTTCGCAGACTTTAACCGGGGCGACGGGTAACTCACTGCTCCTATAAACTTGAGCACAGAACAGGCTTGACAAAACAAAACAAAAAATTGTTTTGCAAATAATAAAGAAATTTGACAAGTGATTGAAAATCGTAAAATTCCTTTTGAGGAAATTGATAGCCTCGAGCTGACAATAACCCTTTGTGCGTGCAGGCCGTGCACTTCGCGTGCACTTCGCGGTGCACGTGCTCTCGTTCTCTTTTGTGCGAGGCGCGAAGGCGGCGGGGCGGGGCGCTAATGGGCGACCCGCCGCGGCCCGCCCAAGGCGCCTCTCCCCTCTCCCCGCGTACGCTAATACGCAGCTGTCGGACAAGGACCTAACAATGGCTGGGCAATTTTCTAAAAAGCATCCCTGTTTTGAGAGTGTTCCTACTAAGCTCTATCTGCGTCGGCGATGACACTTGCCAAAGCCATATCACTAGCACAGATCCCAATTAAAAGTGCGCTCTAGGAGTGACTGCGACTGCACTGTGAGCAGATGCTTGCAACTATAGGCATTTTCGAGCTTTATATTGCAAACGAAGAAGCTCTTTGCAAGCTGTCAGGGCCCTTGAAAACAATGTGTTAGTTAACAGATTGCAAGATTGCAAATAACTACATGGTTCGCATTGCTATGCTTCAAAATTAATTCCCTTAAAGAATTCTTTGCCAACTGCAAAGAAAATCGCTTTCAACACAAACCAATTCTTTGCAAAAAAATTACAGCGTGTTGTGTGCTACTGCGACGACTTGATACACAATTCAATATTTGGTTTGTAGAGCGTGTTCTTATAATTCTCGGACGCCCAAGGCTGACTTTCATTGTCTCCGCGTCGATAGTCTGTCCACGGCGTCGTGGCGACGTCGCGTGGGTATGGCAGACGTGATAACGACTAATGTTATGTTTCCTACGCGACACTCGCGGTGGGTCGCCTCTCTCTGTCTCTCTTCTCTAGCTGCCTCGCCCGTTCTCAGAGACATCCTGCGCCGGCCGTCACCCCTAGAGTAGAGAAAAGGAAGCCCGCAGTACTTGGAGATGAGATAGGCTAAAAAGTTGCGAAAATTTTATGGTGGTACTCTGTGGTGTCCATCTTGAGCACGTGATTCAGCGCGGTGCCATCGTAAATTTTTACATTCTTCTCACCTCCCAACATTTCTCCCTCCCTCCCTCCCTCTTCCCCTCTCAAACGAATGCGACCGTGAAATTTAATACTGCTAAGGAAACAAAATCGTGTTTACTATCGTCTCATTCTATCAGATTGCTCAATCTGCCTAAACAAAAACAACAACTCGTCAAAAGTTAATTTTACGTTGTGAATTTAAAGAAAAATCGGGTACGCGTAGAATTCTTTTGATGCAACGTTCTTGTGCGTTTTAACTCGCCATCGTCTTGTCGCGCAGGAAATGGTCGGCCCGGGCCAAACGGTCATTCTGCAGAGCCGGGCGGGTGGGTCTGTCCTGGCGGGGCGGGGGGTATGGAGCCGTGGTCCCCCAAGTGCACGGGCGGGTGGTCGAATCATATATGGGTCACAGGGCCGCCATTTCCTACCCGGCCGCGGCGCGCCACCTCTGTCTCTGTCTGTCTCTCTGTCTCTCTCCCTCTCTCCCTCTCTCCCTCTCTCCCTTTCTCTCTCTCTCTCTCTCTCTCTCTCTCCCTCTCTCTCATCTCTCTCTCTCATCTCTCTCTCTCATCTCTCTCTCTC